ATGCTTCCTTTATAAGGACACCTAGTTTTAAAAAATTCTGTTGCAAAGATCTTGCTAGACATTCTATTTATGCACCAAAAAAAAAAAAAAAAAAAAAAAAGGGGCAGAGTCCCAGAAATGTGAGTATATTTTTCATTTTCTGAAAATACTAGGATTCCAGAGATTAGGACAGGATTGCTTGTGAATAAACTCAAGCAGTTAAAAATTGTCCACAGCTTTATAATAAAGATATCCCATCCATAAAAAAAGTTAATAATGTTACCAAAAAAATACATTCTCTGAAAGAACTTATTAACTAGTTGAATCATTAATTTCACAGTACTTAATTTTTTGTTCCCTTATAAAATAATATTAAATTTGTTCCTCTGATATTAGGCCTTTCTTTGAATTTATGTTCAGATCCCAAAAGTACAAAGACCAGGGTTACTTTAAACCTGAAATTTAAACATTAAATGGCATTATTATTTGTATCTCAATAAATAATGGACTTGTCTACCACAAAAGAGTTAGTTTTTGTTCTCTGCTGAACATTTATAGACACAGGCACTTGGAACAACAAATCACCACTGCAATGACAATAAATACATGTGTTTACCACTCGGCTTTTTGTACAATTTGTACTGACTAGATAGGGTAAAATAAAAACATGGCTGGAGGCTGAGGCAGGAGAATCGCTTGAACCTGGGAGGCAGAGGTTGCAGTGAGCTAAGATTGTGCCACTGCATTCCAGCCTGGGCAACAAGAGCAAAACTCCATCTCAAACAACAACAACAACAACAACAACAACAACAAACCACAGAAAACAAACAAAAAAACCAATGCTGGGCACGGTGGCTCAGGCCATAACCCCAGCACTTTGGGAGGCTGAGGTGGGTGGATCCCTTGAGGTCAGGAGTTCAAGACCAGCCTGGCCAACATGGCGAAACCCCGTCTTTACTAAAAACACAAAAATTAGCTGGGCATGGTGGCGGGTGACTGTAGTCCCAGCTACTTGGGAGGCTGAGGCAGGAGAATCACTTGAACTTGGGAGGCAGAGGTTGCAGTGAGCTGAGATTGCACCACTGCACTCCAACCTGGGCAACAGAGCAAGACTTGGTCTCAAAATAAATAAGTAAATAAACATGTGACTGTTTGAGGTATCTCAAACTCCAAAGGAACAGAGCTCTTGATCCAAATGAAAATATATATACACCTGAATTTTCATTAGGATCAAGAGCTCTGTTTTGTTGTACTGAAGGAAATTTAATAGAAGATGAAGGAAATAAGTAGAATAAAGGCCATGGCCTCCCATTCTGCATAAACACACCATGAAAAGAAAGGATCCTTACTGAGTGCCTGCTATGAGGGGTACAGGAAGGAAAAAGTCAACAGGAAAGGAAGGAGAACCAGAATATTCTGCTCTGTAGACATTCTGAATCACAGCAGCTTTATTTTAATCAAAATATACTGGAGTTACGGTAAGCCCCTCAGGGGCATGAACTTTGTTGTTCTAGTCTTTGTATCCCCAGCACTGGAAACCGGACCTGGTACAAGAAACACCCTTAAAGTTTGATTAACTATTGGTGATGGAATGAATGACTAAAATCAATAAGCCTTTCTACTATTTTAGAACAGAATCAGTAACCACGGCTTTTCATGAACATGTTAACCAGAATTATTTTTGCATATGGGACTCTTACTGCTTCTTCTCCGTAAAGGTATTATTAATTTGTAGAAAGTTTTCTCCTCCTAAAAAAGACTCTTAAGCACCCTACGAACTTAATTGAGCATTAACATGATGATGTTCAAGGATTATTCCAAAGAGTTGTCATCTATCAACAAAGAAGCACATTCTAAGCATGTTTAAAAAGGAATATGGAAAATCAGAAACAGAAAAGTTGCTAAAAACAGTGCCTCTGCTAAGAGACTAGGAGAGGCTCCAGCAGACTTCATTAGCCCTGGTTCTGGGGTTGATCAGACAAAGGGAACTTTGGGAGTTGTGAGGAGGAGGAGAGAGATGGGCTGGCAGCGTGAGGGGCTGTTCTGATGTCGCCGGGCCAGGGAACGAGGTGGGTGGGGCTGGGCATCCAGTCCTGAGGTCCTGAAGTGACAGAGGGTGGGTCTCAGAGCACAGAACCTTGTTGGGGAGGGGTCAGAGACCTGCTCACATGTGGGACACAGGGGACTCCCCCAAGTAAGCTGGTCACCGTGTGTCTAAGGCCCTCTCTCAAGAATCCAGGCGGCTCTGCGCCTCCAGGCCTGCGATGGAATTGAGGCAGAATCCGATCACTCCGGCGGAAGTCTGGAAGCCATGAGTGGGAATGGAAAATAGCAGTGAAAGCCAATTCCAAATGATGGAAACTGCAGCTCGAGGATGGGTATTTTAAACTGTCCACTTTACACTGCCGAGAAAAACTGTGATGATCCGTAAATCAAAGCCTGCCAGGACAGGTGGGCAGCATGAGGGGACAGGAAGGACACAAAATGCAGGATGAACAATCAGTTTCGGGGTCAAGACACCAAGGCCTGGATGAGCATAAGATGCAAACTACTGTCGTTTTGTATTTTCCAAAGACCCAGTAAGCTGTTGGTGCCTGCAAAGGCCCAGAGACCGGTCTGGAGGCGACTCCATCGGCTCCATTTAAATCAGCGCTTTCCTTTTCCTCAAGAGGGTTCATGTTAACAAGAGAACAGATCCCATGAAGAAGGGGCAGCTTGCAGACAAGAGGTCAAGAGAAAGCATTCTTCAAAGGTTTCCCAGTCCACCCATCCGTCTTTTAACTGCCCCAAGTAACTTCAACCAAGTCAAAATCTAGTCATCTTAAAAAGGTTTCTACGGAAGCCACATCTACCACTGCTATCAGTTTGCAAATGCAAAAACGCCCGGGTTAACACTCTCAAAAACATCTACAAACTTAACATTAAAGTCCTCGTAATTTCTTTCCAATTTTAAAATAAACATTATAAATGCTAAAAAAATGTTACTGGATAAAAAAGAAAGGTCATGTTGGTACTTACAGTTAATATATTTATGTCAGTATTGAAATATACTTCGCCTATTTCTCGTAAGTCAAAGTGTTAACTAACTGAACAGCCACCTCACATTTCAGTACCTTTAACTTTGGTATTGGTTTCTTGCCAAAAGCTTTATAAAAAAAGTATCTTTTGTATGGATACTTGGAAATAATTTTATAATTTACAAATGTATCCAAAATATACATGTAATATATACTAATATACAAATTTGTGAATTAAAACGGAGAAAAGGTTAGTAAAAGCTTCCAGAAAAAGGATACAAAATATCTAGCCTTTTCACTTTTCTGTGAGAATACTCCATTAAAGGAGGCCAATACATGTATCTGTTCACCTGAGGGAAGAGTGTTTTGTATCATGATAGCTTTTTCATTATTTCACAAGAGCAATCTTTAGAAGTAGTGACAGGTTCCATCATATCTACTAAATGATGTCCCCCACAAGTTAAATCTATCAAGGTTTAGTACTTTCCTCAAAAATCACTTTGATGTCTTTGAAATCCATTCAGAATAGGGAGTAGTGACTTTAAGCGAAGATATGTTAAAATTATGTTAAAATCAATAAAATGGCACTTTCAGAAACTTTAGAGTTGTCTTTGAGAAAAGTCACAACTCCTTTTTTTTCTTTTCTTTGAGACAGAGTCTCGCTCTGTCACCCAGGCTGGAGTGCAATGGCACAATCTCGGCTCACTGCAACCTCAGCCTCCTGGGTTCAAGCGATTCTCCTGCCTCAGCCTCCCGAGTAGCTAGGACTACAGGCACACACCACCATGCCTGGCTAATTTTTGTACTTGTAGTAGAGACGGGGTTTCACTATGTTGGCCAGGCTGGTCTCGAACTCCTGACCTCAAGTGATCTGCCTACCTCGGCCTCCCTATGTGCTGGGATTACAGGCGTGAGCCACCGTGCTGGGCCCACAACTCCTAATTTTTAATTTTCTTCAGGAAAAATATGATTTCTGATAAACTGTTATCATCTGTATCTGTAAATTCAGATTTAATTGCCAACTTTTGAAAAGGAAGAACCATTATCTGTAGTGAATGTTAACAGTCAGGCAGTGAAGGCACCCCTCCCTCCCAGTCCTGTTCCTGATTCACTGTCTCATGAAGAGCCACATGATGGTACTGAATTCATTATGGGGCCAGCCGATGCAATCTCGCCAGGTCTCTGGCGGCTGCATGTCTCTTGGGAGATTTATAATCATCACAGGTGGGGAAACCCCCACCCCAGGAAGAGACTGAAGTGCATTATCGCTAAGTTACAGGAAGAAAAGTCACCACCACTATTCTCAATACTTGAAGCTCTTCTGCTCAGCTGTCCTCAAACTCTCTAATGTATCAGAAAACTGACAAGCGATGGGAAGAAGTGGTGGTTTTATCCAGGCATGATAAAGTAATAATAATAAAAGGGGGTGAGTGTGGTTGTGTGTACCCATGCCCTGAGTGGGCACTGGCACAAGCTAGGGCCACTGGGGTCACTTTTCTGCTGCACCTTAGTGCAGTCGCAGGTGCTCCAAGACAGGGCCTGAGCCTGGGTTCAGACTGGACAGGATGGGATGAAGAAGGGACAGTGTATGAAAAATCTCCCTGGCTCTTTCCAAGCCACCTTTGGAAGCTGTGGAAGGATAGCTGGGCAATAAATACCTAGAACATCAAAACAGGAAAGGCTGTCCTGGAATCATTCGCAATCCTATAATTTTGCAGGAAATAAAATAGCACAACTCAATCCTGCTGCTGCTTCTGCTCTTGGTCTCAATACCCAATAGGACAGGCCACAGTGTGAACACCAATGTCAGAGCTTTGCATTATGGCAACAGCGATGGCGCAAACAGACATACATATCTAAAGAGAGTTTATGCATCCTCTGGTCCACCTCCCCTCAGAGTGACACACTCATATAGATGGATTCTTTCCCACCTGTTAAGACACTGCTCAACAGGACAAAAACATGAAGAAGGTGGAAAATTAAGAAGGCAAACGGAATGCTTACTTTCTCTAAATGCTTTACAGTAGCCAAGGAAAGACAACAAGAAGAACAGGGCACACAGGAGGTCTGCACGGCCGACAACACCAGCAACCTTAAAAGAGGGGGAAGAAAACAAAGAATTACATAAAACACATTTAAGCAAATCCTAAACTTAGGAGACACATAAATTTTTTTTTTTTTTTTTTTGAGACAGGGTCGCACACTGCCACCCAGGCTGGAGTGCAGTGGTGTGATCTTGGCTCACTGTAGCCTCAAACTCCCTGGGCTCAAGCAATTCTTCCATCTCAGCCTCCTGAGTAGCTGGAGCACAGGCGCACATGACCACAGCTGGTTAATGTTTTTATTTTTTTGTAGAGGCGGGGTTTCACCATGTTGCCCACGCTGGTCTTGAACTCCTGGGCTCAAGCGATCCACCCACCTCTGCCTCTCAAAGTGCTGGGATTACAGGTGTGAGCCATTGTGCCTGGCCAAAACCAAAATTCTTTAGACATATAAAACAAGAAACTTCCCAGACTCTGCCACATATTAAAATAAATACACGATGTAGCTGTGTAACAGCGCTTGGTGTTACCTTACAATCAGTTCTCTCCTTCCATTTGGGTATAGGACTTGATTTAACTGCTTCAAGAGAACAGCGGATTGGTTTGAACCTGCTGCTAGCTATTCTGCTGGACACAGACGGCGATATGTGTGTGCCGTAAAAGCTGTGAGCTGTGTTCTTTAACACACGATACCCAAGAGCTCCAAAGACTTAGTCTTCTGAGGTCACAAAGTGGATTTTCAATCGGAAAATGTTATCAGCTCAAAGGGCATGATATTTAAAAAATAAAATGTGATTGGAAACATGAAGGACATAAAGGTGCGAGAGAAGTGTGAAAAGCCGTCCTGCCGATAGAAAAAGACACAGGAGTAATCCTTCAAAGCTGCCTCTGCCCCTTTTTTTTCCCTTCAGACCAAAACTGATTAAGTGGGTTAACCTGGAAAGCCGAATGCTTCAAGAGTGATTAACAAGTAGGATGAGCACAGAATACAATTTCTGCCATTTCTTTCCCACATTTTCCACATGGTGACTCTGCCCTTCCTTTCCTCAGTGAGAATGAAGCAATATAAACTATGTGTTTCTTTCTTTCAGGCTGATGACTCCAGTCGTTGTTCTCCCAATGCTGTACGGTGATGAAAGACACAGAATTCCACCCAGGGGTAGGTACTGGACTAGTTTAGGTGGGATTCTTTACTAACTGGCACCTGAATGTGACACGGACCAAAGCTTCTGCTGTGATTGTCCAGGTATCACTTTAAAGGCTGGTAGGTTAATCCCTTCCCAGAGGATGGGGATGTGATATATGAGCTGCAGAATAAAGGACTTTTCTATAAATCAAGATAAGAAAATATACACTGACTATGAAATTACTATATTTACATGTGATTCTCAAGTTCACATGCAGTCAATAGCTAAAAAAGAATGTCTTTTAGGAGCAGATTCCCCTACACCGGTTATACATGAAATGCCAAGGACCATTTGTCACCGTAACTGTGACCTCCTGATGATGTGTATGTGGCAGCCTATGGTGTTAGGTGATGGTTGGGAAGACTGAATAAGCTGATAAATCCACCCAACGAACACTACACACACACAAACGCTACTGAGAAGGAAGCTAGGGACAAAACAAAGGCTTAACAGATCTAGAACAAGTATGCCAGTATGCTGGAGGGGAACAATCCAATTGCTTTATGAATGAAATGAATATACAATGAGAGCTCTGGAATACTCAGGGCTGGAAACTCACTCCATCAGGGACACAGTAAAATAGTCAGAGATGCAGCCACACAGAACAGAGCCTGGTACAGGGTGGGTGCGGCTCACTGTGAGTTCCCCGGTGGGTCCTATGGAGTGTGTCTATGACCAGGAGTAGCAGAAAGGTAAAGGACAAAGGACGCAGAAGTCATCTCCACAGCCTTGGGTGAGTGAGGAGGCAGCTGGAGCATCCTGGCTCTGTGGTCCTCATGCCAGGAGGACACAAGAGGAGACAGGAGCGTCTTAGAGCTGTGGCTATCTATAGCACCTCAGGATGGACTGGAATCCCAACCCTTTAGAGAAGAGAAAGCAATGAACGCCAAGCCAGACAAGTCTGTCTGAAGGAGACCACAGAGAACAGGGTCACAGGAAACAGGGGGAGCAGGTGTCAGAGACCAAGGGGAAGTGAGGTGAGAGAGGGGGAAGGAAGTGGTTTGGAAAAATACTAGGGCTTGTGGCCAGGAGGGCCAGGCTGCATAAACCACTTGCTATCTGAATGGCTAGGGTAGATCTGAAGAATCACCAAAAATGAAATTTAAACATCAAAAGCTTATTTTTACAGAAATGTTTCTTTCTGCTAATTGTCGAAGACCATCCCACGACTTTAAGCAATGTACATTATGTTCCTTGACATAAAGAAAAACAAATTTTTAAAGTATGGGAAGTGTTTTAAAGCAAGACAGCATTTAGTATTTACAATGAATTTTTTTGGCATAGTAATTAAGGGAGATTTCACTAAAAGAATGTTAAAAAGCTACCCAAGGAGGGACTGTATCCAATCACTGTTTGAGAATGTACATAAGCAAGAAAACATTTTCTTTTCCTTTTCTGATATTTGCATAGTATGTATTTCTAGGCAAACTTTTCTACAAAGGCTATTTTTTTTTTTCCTCACAAATAACGTGAAACACTCAGAGTTTTCTGGAGAAATCACTGCAATCCCTCTGAATCCATAAAGCAGGCGGTACCATTGTTTCCCCAATAGCTACAATTTGCATGGGGGCCATGAAAAGGAATTAGGGGGGTGGGGAAGGTTTCCCCACCTGATTCCTTCTGGATTAAAGTCTGGGTTCATTAGATAGACAGAACTCTTTTTAAACATTTTGTTTCATTTTTCACTTTCAGAGACAGGGTGTCACTCTGTTTTCCAGGCTGGAGTGCACTGGCGTGATCATAGCTCACTGCAGCCTCAAACTCCTGGGCTTGAGCGGTCCTCCTACCTCAGCTTCCCAAGTAGCTGGGACTCCAGGCGCACACCACCACACCTGGCTACAGGAAGAACTCTTAAGGGGGCCTGAGCTTCTCTCCTTGATGTTAGAATTCAGACAAGGTTAAATCTTCCCCAACACTCTGAGGAAAATAAAAAGTAAAGCCCATACAAGCCACTTCTGTCCTCAGGGAAGTGCTGGGGTCCTCCTGCTGATGGCCACACAGAGCTGAAGAGCCACCAGCAGATCAGGGGCTGTGTGGCCCTCCCAGACTCTCCTCCCTGCAGTGGGGACTGGCCTGTCAGAGGCTTTGGGTGTCTACAAACCACTCAGCAATGTGCGGTGGCTCATTAGAAAAAGACAGACACTCCCGTCAGTTGAGGAGCACAAAACACTGACTACAATTACAGCATCGCCAAGCGGAGACCAGGAGGGGGCAAGACTGTGGGGTGCCCAAGTCATCCCCATTTTGCCCGGCTGTCATTGCTTTCAAATGGAAAGTCCCCAGTCCCAGAACCCTCTCAATTTCAGGCACACTAGATAGCTGATCACCCTAGAAGACTGGAAAATTCAGGTGCTTATTTGCAGTGGGCAAAATCATTTTCAGTGTGAAATGCTGGAGAGTGTAAAGACCTAAAACATATTAATGTAAATGTTAATATAAAGAAATTCATGTCAGGCCAGGTGCAGTGGCTCACGCCTGTAATCCCAGCACTTTGGGAGGCTGAGGCAGGTGGATCACTTGGGGCCAAGAGTTTGACACCAGCCTGTCCAACATGGTGAAACCCCATCTCTACTAAAAATACAAAAATTAGCCAGGTGTGGTGGTGCACGCCTGTAGTCCTAGCTACTCGGGAGGCTGAGGGAGGAGAATCACTTGAACCTGGGAGGTGTAGGTTGCAGTGAGCCAAGATTGCGCCACCGCACTCCAGCCTAGGTGACAGAGTAAGACTGTGTATCAAACAGAAAAAAAAAGAAAAAAAAAAAAGAAATTCACGTCACTAAAACCTGCAGGGGCCTATACTGTCTCTTAATAAATGTACATTGAGACAAATGGGGTAAACTGAGGCAGTTTACTAACCAAATCCCCACTGTCCTCATCCCACAGGGATCAATGTGGCTGGGGCTGCTGTGCCCAAGGCCATGATTCAGGCTGCTGGCTCTGCTGGCCAGAAAGCGGGACTGGCTCCTTGCTGAACACCTAGGAGGAGCTCGCCTGCCACCCGTTTCCTTGAGCGTTCCATTCTTTGCATGTTTTTAAAGCTGGAATTTTTTTTTTTTTTTAGACAGAGTCTTGCTCTGTTGCCCAGGCTGGAGTGCAGTGGTATGGTCTTGGCTCACTGTAGCCTCTGCCTCCTGGGTTTGAGAGATTCTCCTGCCTCACCCTCTCGAGTAGTTGGGACTACAGGTGCGCACCACCATGCCCGGCTCGTTTTTGTATTTTTAGTAGAGACGGGGTTTCGCCATGTTGGCCAGGCTGGTTTGGAACTCCTCACCTCAAGTAATCCACCTGCCTCAGCCTCCCAAAGTGCTGGGATTATGGGTGTGAGCCCCTGTGCCTGGCCTAGAGCTGGAATTTTTAACTGCAGGGTAGGAGATAACAGGGGAATGCAGACAGAAGGAAACTGAATACTATCTGCGGAAACACTGAAAGGTAAACATACAAAATATCTGTCTTCCAACGCTAACTCTTAATTATCCACAAGTATTTCTTGAAATCTGAGTTTGAATGGATGTCATGGTGGGGAGGGGAAGAGATAGAGGTTTTTCAAATCCTCCTTTTTCTCCTAGAGCTAGTCTGCCTCAGTTTCCTTTTAACCATCTGGAATGTGGACTTTTAAGATTACATGTTCCCAGGGTGCATTTATCTGGAGTGTGAGTGTGTGTGAGAGAGAATGTGTGTGTGTGAGTGTGTAGGTGTGTAAGCACACTGTTATACTTGATGGCACTTGAAACCTTCTTATAAATCAAATTCTGAATATTTAAAATGAGAATTTTAGAAAACTTTCCTTGGCTAATAATTCAAGTATTTTATTTTGCTTTTGAGATTACGCTAAATTAGATGAGAAGGAAGACAGAACCAGAACTTCTCCAGTGAGTCCCTCTCTTCCAGTCCCTTATTCAGGACCACTGGCTACACTATATCTGGGTCCCAGAGAGAACTCGGATTGAAACAAAGTCTAATTCAGTCACAGTTCTCTATAAAGAGCTTATAACTAAATTTTTACACAGCAGTCCCCAGCCTATCCAGCCCTTAACGTCCTCTGAATTTGCTGAGGTAAAAAATAAAGATTTAAAAAGATATCAGGAGGAGGGTGTGATAACAACTCCACAACACTCTTGATACTGAAGAATAGACAGTTTAATAAAGTCAGATGCTAAAAACAGGACTTCTGCTCAGCATCTTGAAACTCCAAGAAGCAAACATGCAACTGGTTAAATGTAGAGATTTCAATCCTGATGAAATGAGAAGTCTACCGTGAGGGAAGTTATAAACTGTATGTGATTATTTTACGCACTTCGTGCTCACAGAATGAATGACTCGAGTCAAATCTCGTCCCTCAGCAAACATGCTGCCTTTTGCATTTTCAAAGGGTCCATGTGGTGGTGCAGGGGGTGGTTCCTGAAAACTTCACAAATGTCTAGTGAAATCCCAGCACAGCCTATTCCAAATACACAGAGGCAGCTCGATGGGATGGAGACGTAGCCTCCAGGAGGGTGGGCACCCACCAGAGCTGCCAGATCACCTTGGGGAGAGGATCACACAGGGTGAGGAGGAGGAGGGTGGAGAGGCTTCACGAGCAGCTCCCAAGCAGGGCATGGGCACCACTTTCCAGTTCAACACCAAGTACGTCAGCATCTCCTCAGTGGAGGCCGGGGAAGCCCAGAATTTAAGTCCTGCCCGACATCCACTTGCTCCTCACCCTGGATAAATTTTTATCCTCCCAGGCCTTTCCCTCATTCCTAAAGTGGAAACGGTTATATTAGCCCAGGTGATGTCACAGCGTTTTCGTAACAATCATGTTAAGTCTAAGAAAGGATTTTACAAATCATAAAACAGTCAGCGAACACAGAAACACTGCATCAGACCCTCCACTGAAGAACAGTTCTTAGCCTCCGAACTTCAGACCCCAAAGCCTGGCAATATTTAACATCCATGTCTTCACCGCTGGTGTTATCCTAGAAGCTAAACAGAAAGTATCAGCAGAGATCACACCATACCTTATTACACAGTCTCCACCAATATGGTGCTCTGCATTTTGTTTCACCAGAGAGATGTCTCTGCCCTAGACAGAATTGTTTCAAATGTCTGGCAGGGTATTTATGTAGTGTCCTTTCTATTTCTAGAGTATACTGTGGAGTAGACTTTCTCCAGCTCTGGAACCAAGATGGGTACATAAAGGGAGCCTGTTTTAGGAAACCAGGAGACACGGGGGTGTCATATCACTTCTCACGTGCATACAGATGCCTCGTGCAGACGACACTTACACATTCGGTGTGCACAGGATGGACAGCAAACAGCAGCGCGGCCAGCAGGGATGCCCTGGGGGCGAGGTGCAGCCTCCGGCCTTTACTGGTGTACTGCAGGCCACCAAACAGAACCGAGAAGACATCCACCATGAGGACAGAGATGCCACTGTGCAGAAGGATGTTGACCACGTGAAAGCCCACGGGGTGGAAGCCTCCCGAGAGGTAGTAGTTAATCCTGCAGAAACACAGGGTGTTCAGGGTACATGTGCAGCGGCAAGCGGCAAGAAATGGCAACGGTCTAGAGGGGAAGGCTTGTGTGTGGAAATATTAAAAGGAGAAGTGGAAGACTTTGTGCCAGCTTGATAAAAATAGCACCAAGATAAATAATGCCTGTCGAGCTAAGAAGGCTGTGGAAAAGGTGGGAATGTAACTACAGGGAAAAAGGGATGAAATGGATGTGTCCAAGGCGAGTGGCACTGAGGCAACTTGCAGAGGAAAATCGAAAGGAAAGTTAGACGATGTTTTACATGCAGAAGGGGCAAGGCTGCATTCCAGGAAGATACAATATTCCACACATTACTCATGGCTACCCCCTAGGGACCTGGATTTAAGAGAGTCTTGTAACTTGCTTATCCTCCAAAGGGCTCCTTATCAGTATGCCCCCCAGCCTTCCCCCAGCGAAACACCCTCCGCTGGCAGGGATTCCTATTCTGACTGCTTCTCAGCTGCTGGTGGTTCCAATTCATCACTCCTACGCTCCTGTGGGACGTCTACACACAAGTGTTTAAATGCACCCGAGAAGCAGGTATGGACGAAAACCTTTGTGAGGTGAATGCATCTATTCAGTGCAAGTGGCTCCCTGTTTAATGGAGGGGGGATTGTTTGCAAGCTGCATCTTGCTTTTGCATATTAACTTGGTAACAGTAGGAAGACTTATACCTTATTTATTTCTGTAGTGAAAAAGATAAGTTTCATCAGAGGCCTCATGTCGCTTTCACTCATATTATTCCATTGGTGTTAACCAGCAAAGGGTCAAACCTCCAAGAACTGAGAAAAATATGAACCACCACCCATGTGCGTGCCATCCTTCACAGGGGCCCCGCTCGCCTTCTCTGCACCTAGACACCCATGTATGTGAGCAGCTCAGACCCCACCTGAGTCACTGACTGGACTCCTGAATGCTGAGAGCCTGCTGACACACACCTGTCTCCAATGTCACACACAAGCCGGGAGTGACCTTCCCAGGCCCTTCGACGTCACAGCTTACCTGAAAGTCAGGACGGTGAGAGGCCGGTAGGACTTGTGGCTGGTGTTGCTGCTCAGTCTACTGCCCCAGAAGTCATGGTGCCACAGGTCCCCAAGGGGCGTTTCTGCTTGGAGGTCCTGCAGGGACACAAAGGGGACGTTCTGGACAAGGGTCTCCCACCAGCCCTAAGCCAAGCTCCTCCATCTCTCACCCGGGATGCAGTCAGGCCTCCTAGCGGGGCTGCTGCACCCAGTATGTTCTCTATGTTGATCATCTCAAACTACACATGGGCTCACCTCACCGGGCTTCAAACACCGATCAGCTTTCACCCTCCTGGGACCGATAGCTTCCCCTGAACTCTGCAGGCCCACGTCTCTGGCGCTGTGCTCCTGCCAGCTCCCAACCCAGAGGCTCTGCATGTGCGGGTCGTCCCTGGACAGTCACCCTCAACTCTTCACGGCTCAACTCCTCCCGCCATTCATCTCCCTGCTGCCCAGCTCTGCCCTTCCTGAGCTGATCCTGTCCCTCTTCCATGGGTCTCTGGGCATCTCACCCTGTCAAGCAGTGCGTGGCACCCTGGCGACTTACAGTCACATGACTATTTGTCTGTGCCACTAGACTGGGCTCCACAAGGACTGGGCCACATCTGGGTTTGCTGGCTATATACAGAAGGTGCTTAATATGTGTCAAATATAAGTGGACCACACAGCTAAATAAGATCACTACTAACCTCTCACATCTAATAAATAAGGTAACTTACCAAAATGTCCCAGTTAAAACATAAGTGTGGATAAACATATTTTCTTAAGTTTCCATTTTTGATCATGAGCTAGCAGACTATGAAATCAGAAAAAAATCCTTAATTTTTACAGACAAAAATCATTCAATATTAAAAAATACTCTGTACTTCTCTTACTGCTGAGGTAGTTTAATTTGGTACTATACTACAGATGCTTAAAATGCATTATTTTAACATTTAAAAGATGAAAGTAGATGGCTTAAATTGTGTTTAATGAGAAGAGAGGTAAACAAGGCACTGTGGTGGAGTAAGTAAGAAAAATGACAGATTAACTTTCTCTTTAAAGCGTAATTAAACGAATGTTTTAGGGACTAGAAATAACAACATGCTGATCATTTCCCTGGGTTGTCAGTCAAGATTCTTCATTGCAGTAACCAAACTCTGATTAATTTAAACAAAAAGGGAATTCTTCAAGGGCAGTGTGCAGCTCACAGAGGCCCCTGTGGCCTGGAAAGCCAGGGCAGGGCCACATGGCAGGAGCAAAGCCGCCCATCATGCCCTGGGCACCTTGCAGAGACTGCCCGGCTGCCTCTGGGCCCCCACCTCGCGTGACCAGCTCTTAACTCCAACAGGTGGGCGCACCTGACGGAACAGCCCATCTGTGCCAGTTCCCTAATCAAATCGTCTTCTGAGCACCTAAGAATGCCCCAAACAGAAATGGGTCAAATGATGGGTGGCCTCAAAGAGCAATAAAGGTCCACACCCACCGTGCGGCTTGGCACTTGCGACTTAAGTGCTTGCTGACTCAAAGGGAAAGGCTTGAAAAGAGGTGACAGATGCAAAGCTGTTCACCAATGTTCACTGTTAAGGGTGACATTTGCTTCCATGGGGATCGGCTTCAGAGGCCAGGAGTGCATTGACCACTCCCCGAGAGTGGGTTAGAGATTCTGTGAAGGTCGTGTGAGTCACCTGCTCCCTTCGTTGACTCAGTGACAAGCCTGGAAGCCTACCTTCTTCTACACTCTTACAGAAGCACCCGGTCAGCTGTGAGGGGCTTGGGCGGAGGATCTCTTCCTCCCTTTGAACAGGAAATGAACACCAACGAGGCTCTAAATATTTGATTAGGTGGAGCCTCCACAGCAGGGCGTGCTACAGAAAGAAAGGTCAATTCTTCCTCATGATGATTTATGGAAAAAACGTATTGTGTCTAAAATTCCCCCTAACTCCACTGTCTGAAAGATCATCATCTCAAGGAACAAAAAAGGCAACTCCACACTGCAAGGAAGCATCTGGAAAACAGTCTCTAACATCACTAAAATCCAGTAACAGCCTGTTTCACATTACTGTAGGCACAGTGCCAATGAATGGAGGAGTGCCTTTCATTAACTAGGAAAAGAAAAAGGGAGGGCTAGCAAGTTAACAAAAGGGGCACAGTGTGATGCTCCCGAAAACAGTGCCAAGACCATGCTCAGCAGAACCACGAAATAGCTTCCTGTGCCTCACCTCACAGAAGGAACGAGAATTACACCCAGACACCAGGGCCTCCGCACACAACACGGCTCGTGTTTTTGTTCTTCCTAGCTGACCAACATTTTTCAACACGGTTTCTGAATGAACACTTTATATGTCTTCTGCTTCACACGAGTGGAAGAGTCAAGATATTCTCACCAAAACGAATAATGGAATTTAAATAATAAAACTCTATCTTTGTAAGAAAAACAGTTCTGTGGCCATTAAGCCACCAATCTGTGCTGGGCATGGTGGCCTGTGCTTGTAATCCCAGCACTTTGGGAGGCCAAGGTGGGAGCATCACTTCAGGCCAGGAGTTTGAGATCAGCCGGGCAACACAGTGAGACTCTGTCTCTACAAAAAATTTTAAAAATCAGCTGCATGTGCTGGTGCATGACTGTAATCCTAGCTACTCAGGAGGCTAAGAAGGGAGGATGACTTGAGCCCAGGCATTGGAGGCTATAGCGAACTATGACTGCACCGCTGCACTCCAGCCTGGGCAACAGAGTAAGACTTTGTTCCCACCTCATGAAAAAGCCACCAGTTTGACATAGCTGTGTAGACTTACTTAGTTCTTTTAAGCATGGTTTAAAAAAGAACTGAAACAGAATCATCTACAGTAACTGCTGAGTGAATGTGAGGAAAATTACAAATGAAGAACTTGAATTAAAAATAAACATTGGCCGCGTGTGGTGGCTCATGCCTGTAATCCCAGCACTTTGGGAGGCCAAAGTAGGCAGATCATCTGAGGTCAGGAGTTCGAGACCAGCCTGGCAACATGGTGAAACCCCATCTCTACCAAAAAATACAAAAATTAGCCAGGCATGGGATGCCTGTAGTCCCAGCTACTTGGGAGGCTGAGGCAGGAGAATTGCTTGAACCCTGGAGGCGGAGGTTGCAGTGAGCCAAGATCGTGACACTGCACTCTAACCTGGGCAACAGAGCAAGACTGTCTCAAAAACAACAACAACAAAAACCCATTAACAATGATCTAGTCTGTGCCATCAAAATGGAGATCAATTGCAATATTATGTCACAAATAAACATACGCAAATCAGTCATGTTCCCCCCCATACAATAAATGCTTGTCATATAGAGAGTTCTCAACATTTTCAGCATGAAAATGACTTTCCACTTATTTGGTAGAATCCATGACTTCAGATTTTTAAGAGCATTCAACAGTGTTACAAAGAGTTGCTCTAATTATATCTAGCAGGGAGCTAAATGTGTATTTTCCTCCAAGTCTTCTTCACTGGCTAAGGAACACACAGAAAATATCTTCTGAGTAATAGATTGTCGAGAGACTAACTTGTGCCATTTCTGAGCTCCTTCTCCTCTGGGTCTTGCCTGCCTCTGCATTTCTTGCTCTGGTTTGTAGCCTGCTTGAATCTTTTTCATCTTTTCCCACAAACCTCTTTCTTTTGCCCTAACTCCGGGTAGGGAGTGGAAAAAGATTACCATTTTTCCTGCACTGATACATAGCAACCACTGGTAAGCAAAATTGACTGGGATTCTGCAAGTCCAGCAAAACTGAATCTCCAAACACCAAACAAGCAGGAACTGCAGCGCCCATTGGCAGCACATTCCTCTTGCCCCAGCAGCTGTCAGCAGGCTGTCCCGACAGTCTCGGAGGACAAAGCAGCAGCCAGCGCCCTGCCTGCTGCTGAAGACGCACCTTCTGGCAGGTGATCACACCCGTCCATCACTGCAGCAAATGCATGATGGGTTTGTTTTTTTTTTTGAACAACTGTGGAAATGTTTCACAAAACCTGAAATACTAAGTCTGCAATGCCCTGCAATACCCTTGCCTTGTCATCTTAGAAGAACGGCCTCTTTGATCCATATGGGGACTGGGGCTCTTGAGGGGAATGCCTGAGCTCAGGCAGGGGTTCGGAACCTTGGTGACAGCAATAAGAAAGGCACTAAATCAAGGAGGCGATGTTGAAAAGAGACAGAAAAATCGAGAGCACCACTGGGGCCCAGGCCAATGCTTAACCTACGTTCCACGGAGAACAATGCAACACAAACTTAGATGATTACTGAGACACAGGTGGGCAGTTAAGTTTACCAGAAGAGAGTTGAGATACAAACCTTATTGTTAACAATAGCTTCCGAGTCATCAAAGACAAAGTCTCCATCATAGCTGCGTGCAAAACACACAATGGCAACCAATCCCACTACTAACTTAGCCCAGAATGGAGGAAGAACAGAAGATGGAAAAATGTGATCCAAATCAGTGTCCAACACGGCCATTCTGAAAACTGCAGGCTGGTGGCCCCCGGCTCCAGCATTATGCTGGTTAGGAATCTGCAGGAAAGACAACACCATATAAATATTCATCAACACTGGTAGGACCGTTTCTGCAGTGGGCACCGTGAGTAACAGCTAGATAGTCATTTATGCTATGATTTTATAGGATGTGATCATTAATAATTTGAAGCTGTGCTTCCCAAACTTTAGTGGGCAGAAAAGTCACACGGGACACATGCAGATACCTGGGTCCGACCACAGGATCTATCAAATCAGATGCCCTTTAGTTTCTGATGCTGGAATACCCTTTAGAAACATGAATTTAATGGTATCCTCTTCAAGCCCACAAGGCAAATCATTTTTAATCATCCTTGAACCAGTTTACAGAGCTTAAAAAAAAGAAGTTACCATCTTACCTCATCCAATCAAGAAAAATCAATAAATAGTCACTGCTGGGTTTTAGCACACGGCGTGTGTGGCAGAAGAGAGGTTAGTGTGTAAAACACAATCCTGCTTCTGAAAGAGCTTATGGTCTATTTGTAGCATTCAGGCACACAGGCCAGGGAACTGAGACTCTGAGACAGACAGGGGAGTTGAATGGAGAAACTCTAAGGCGGGGCACAGGATCGAATGCTGGGTTCCTAGGCTAGTGGCTCGACACAGAGGACAGATAGAGGAAATGACTGGTGGGGACAATATCTTGTCCCAGAAAAGGCTGAGCCATACAAAGGAAAGGAAGGGAGGCTATTCGATGTGAGGATATGACCTTCAATCCTGGTGAAAGAGTCAAGATAAAAATATATACTATTTTGAACTTTTCTTTCAAATGGGCATAATGTTTCTCACCAGGGATGCCTGTGCCCTATCCTTGCCATGTGTTAGTTGTGCGGTCCTGTGCACAACCCCTTTCCTCTCTGAGCCCACCCACTGCGGCCCTCTGCAAAGCATCTTAACGGTCAGTGGTGGGAGGTGCCTGATAGCTTCCTGCCTTGGAATTCGCCAAAACAAATCCCAACCTAACCCCAGACTCACACTTTTATCTGGCCCCATTCCCACCACATCCTGGACAGGGGCTTTCTTTGGACTTACCAGGATCAGGTTTGGGTCAGACTGCTTGGTTCTGACCTGGGGTACCTCTGGGCAACTCACTTGACCTCTCTGGGCTCGTTTCCTCAACACTAACATGGGGGTGGTAGGAGTGCCTGCCTTCTAGAGTTGTTATGAGGGTTAAACGGGATTCCCAACACCGCCTGGCTGTAATGAAGGCTCAGGGGAGGCCAGCTATTATTACTTTCTTCCAGAAGGCTGAAAGCAGAGCACAGAATGATTTTCTGTGAGAAATCCCTTTTAGTATCTGGTTGATGGGTACCGAGGCTCCTGTCTTTACTAAGGGACCTGGACCCTGTTCTTTTCCTGCTGAGATGAAAGAGAATCCCAGCCCCTTGATTGGGAAGACAGTTTGGATGTATTTGTTTCTGGATCTCTAAGTGGATACCCCAGATCATGGAATCAATAAAAAGCCAGCCAAATAGGCCACCTGAAGTCACAGGCATCCTTCTACAGCCTTCTGTCTGAGTGAAGATGGAGACAGATCCAACAGGCAACGGGACACACCATTCCATGGTGATGCTGTCCCCTTCCAGGAGCCAGAAGGAGGCTCAGATTTATAATCCAGAGATGAAACAGGCCACAACTCTTCCACTGCTTGTCTCTCAAGCCTCACGGCCTGACGTAAGGCATGCTCTCAGCAAGTGCTGGGGGAATACTGCAGCTACTTTTCTTTTCCAGTCAAAGGATAAACCACTTCTCGAATCTAAATTACAACGCAAACATAACACAGGTCAGCACACAGGCCTCAACATCTATGCTTACATTTCAGCTAAAGAAATTACTCCTGCTACTTAAAAAAACAACAAATCAAGGCTGGTTGCAAGGGCTCACACCTGTAATCCCAGCACTTTGGGAGGCTGAGGCGGGTGGATGGCTTGAGCCCAGAGGTTCAAGACCAGCCTGGGCAACAAGGTGAAACCCCATGTCTACAAAGAAATACAAAAATCAGCTGAGTGTGGAGGCGCATGGCTGCAGTCCCAGCTACTTGGGAGACTGAGAGGTGGGAGTACTGCTTGAGCCCAGGAGTTCCAGGCTGCAGTGAGCTGAGATCACACCACGGCTCTACAGCATGGGCAACAGGGTGAGACCCTGTCGCAAACAATAAACCCCAACAAAGCCAAACACTGAATAGTTACGAAGATACTATGATTTAACATGGAGAGAATAAGAAAATTTAGAAAATTACTGTGAAGGAAAACAAACAATTTATAGCAATTTGAAATGCACAATAGAGTCATGAGTTGACAAAAGGTCATGCAACTGGTTTTGACGTTATCTGCTTTATTGTTTCAATAGTGAATTTACTGGCTCATGCAATATATTTTTGGAGATGGTGTCTTGCTATGTTGCCCAGACTAGATTCAACTTTTGGGCACAAGTAATCCTCCTGCCTCAGTCTCCCAAGTCGCTGGGACTACAGGAGTGTACCACTGAGCCTGGATATTATCTGCTTCAGTCCCAAATATTTGAAAATTATTTCACACACGTTTGTCAAGGTTCAAATGGCCTTCTAAGTAGAATACTAAATCAGGAAATACTTTGTGCTCCTAAATTAGCAGCCGTACCTCAGATTGCTTAGAACATGACTATGTTCTAAGCATAGTCATGTTCTAAGCAATATATGTTCTAAGCATAATATGTTCTAAGCATAATCATGTTCCAAGCAATAATCATGTTCCAAGCAATAATCATGCTCTAAGCAATAATGATGTTCCAAGCAATATGTTCCAAGCAACAGCCCCAGTATATATAAGGTAGACTGTGGACCGTACCATCAACCAGGTACCCTGGTAGGCCAGGTGCAGACTCTTGGGAAGTCAACTGGATGGATGACTCAGTGGATCTCAGAAGATCTCCTCCTCTGCTCTTGCAGGGACAGCAGAGAACCTGGCCGACCTCCAATGCCCCTGCCCCCACATCATTTCCTAGTTCTAGCTGGCTCTCCCCTCCTCGCTATGACTCCCCTGCTTCTCTATCTCAGGGGGCTCCTTCTCCTTTCTCCAAAGCCTCCCACATCTTTGCTGCCACCGAAAATACTGACAAATGCTCTTTTCTTTCAAGGGATTTACTGTTAATGTACACAGTGGTATAGTTTGGAAAATGCCTTTCACTAGGAAATGCAAAAAAAAAAAAAAGCTACAATTTGTTAGAAGGCCAGGCAAAGTGATCAGTCTAGTCCAGTGGTTGAGACCAAAGGCTCTGGTGACGGACAAACCTGGACCTGCCGGCTGCACGACCTTGAACTGCTTAGTCTTTCCAAGAATCAGTTTCCCCACTGGGCACAACATGGTACCACCACTACTTTCTTCAGAGGGCGGTGGTAAAGGATTAAAGGGAGAAAATGCATGCAAACAACCAGTTCTCATTATTGTTAGATTTTGGAGAAATTAGCCGCTGCTTCCTAGTCCCTGACCGCCTGTCTTGAGCACACCCATGTTGCAACTCTTTATTCCTGCAGATGGGCTGAGCACTAGGGCCAGCAGCAGCCCATCGGGTGACCTGGTGCAACTGAGAAAGGCAGACCCTTCTTTTGGGCAGACCCAGGGCACATGGCTTCCTTGGTCCGGTGCCTGGTACAAACTGTACAACCATACACAGTGACCCTGTTCCCAACTCTCCTTCCTCTAACACTAAACGACTTCTGTTCCTCAATGACCTGAGCCAGGCTTGGCACTCAGGTAAAAGAAGCCCTGTCTGAGTAAGGTGGTAGAGATGGGGGACCACCCTCTCTACACTCCTTCCCCTTTTTTTTTTGAGACAGGGTTTCACTCTGTCACCCAGGCTGGAGTGCAGTGGTATGATCATAGCTCACCACAGCCTCACTTTACTGGGCTCAAGGGATCCTTCCACCTCAGCCTTCCAAGTAGCTGGGACTATAGGCATATGCCACCATGCCTGGCTATTTTAAAAACTTTTTTGTAGAGACAGGGTCTCACCATGTTGCCCAGGCTGGTCTGAAACGCCTGGCTTCAAGCGATCCTCCTGCCTCGGCCTCCCAAAGCATGGGGATTACAGGTGTGAACCACCGTGCCCAGCCTCCACCGTTTTTTACACTCAGGCCATGAAATAGGAAGGGATGTTCTGTTTTCTTCCAGATGGGCCCTAGCTTGCACTTTCTGGTCCCTCTTCTCCACGTGATGTCCTGCCTGGCTCCTCTGCCATAGCTGGATCGTTAGTTCACCTTATGAAGCAACAAGAGAGACCCACTGTGGCCTCAGCTACAGGCCAAGCAGAGGGCACAACCCGGGAGGAATGAAGTCAGTGTTCTGCTCACTACCTGACTCCTGCAACAGAATCAACTGGCCCCTCAACAGGGGCTGAAATCTGGAACAAAGCAGAGGTCCCTTTATCCTACAATTTCTCAAACTTCTCGTATCAAGCCTCTGTTTTCAGGAGGTTACAACAAATTAATCATCAGTGAGAAGGTCAAAAAGACCCCAAACAGGGACCCATGAAAAACAAATGTCATCCAGCTGTGAACCATGAGGACCCAATGACAGCTAACACAGCAGCCTGGACTGCAGTAAACAGAATGGCGACACCAAACCTAAATGTTTCCCCTTGGAAAAATTAGCAGCAGCCACCTACAGAAGAATATTCCTCTCCATGCATCCAGGGGCCTGCTGACCTCTGCCCAGCCTTTCTACCTCATCTGTAACATTCAACCACATAGCCAGCCATCCTCTGCCACGCTGAGAGGTGACAGCACCTCTGGGAATCAGATTAGAGAACACGATCACTTGTGACCCCGCATCCCTGGTCCTGGCAGTTTCCTGGCTGATCCGATCCTGGGCCCCTCAAAGCAGAGGCGTGAGCCACCACCACCGCCCTCCTCCGTGCAGTGCTGAATTCATGCTACTGAAGGCTAAGGTATCGTCCTGCTGTGACGGCCTTTCCATTTATATTTCAGTAGCGCACGAGGGCCATGGCTGCCTATAGCAAGAATGTGTGTGGTTCGATATTCACAGCTCCACTGTTCCAGAAAGTTTCCAGCTTGCTAGCTTGTAGCCATTTCCCCCATTTAGGTGCGCTGGCCATCATTTTACCCCACCTTCATCTGGGGCACACCCGGCGCAGACAGGACTGTAGAGAAAGGGGACAGGGAGGGGACCTAGGCAGTCCCTACTATAACTGTTTCTCAAGACATTCTCCCCATGCATTTGCTATCCCGGGGAAAGAGCGAAGTGTGGGATGACTCATAGTGGCTAAATCTTTCCTCTAACTCCTCCCTTCTTTTGTGTGTGGTTAAAAAAAAAAAAGAAAAACACACACGCAGCCCATAGTCACAACATCAACAAGACTAGAAGCCCCGCAGAGTTCGCAGGAGGTGGGCAGTGGCTGCGCCACCTGCTCGGCTTCCCCAAACTCTGAGCCCACGCCGGGAAGTGGCGGCTCGGTGGCCCCGGGCGCCCGGGCCGCTGGCCCCGCGCTCGCGCCGCTCAGCTCCGCAGCCCAGCATGGAGTAGCAGGCGCTCGCGGCGCGGTGGGGGAGCCGCAGCGGAACCCAGGGCAAGCGGCCAAGCGGCCCGGCTGTGTCCAGCCATCGCCTGCGCCGCGGCCAGCTGGCGGCCAGGCGCGGGGCCCCGCGGCCAGATGGCCGCTCCGGGGACGCGCCGCAGGCGCCGGGTGCGCCCGGGCCGAAGGAGCGCCCGCGCGGCTGAAGGCAGGGGCTGGGGGCGGCGACCTCCGCTCGGGCTGAGTAGCGCAGGGGCCCGAGCGGGGCGCGGGGAGGTGGGGCGCGCAGCCTCAACACCGCGCCCTTTGTCCCGTGTGCAGCTCACACGGGGGCCCGCGTCCCCCGTGACCCCAGCCCGGGCCGCAGCTCAGGTCCCGGAACCAACTCCTCCAGCAGCGCCGCGGCCGGGCCCGGGCCACCGTGCGGGGCTCGGGACTCGGCAGCAGCGGGGAGCCCGCACCGGCTCCGCGTTCAACTCCACTAGCCCCGCGGCGCGCTCGGCCCTGCAGGGGCCGCCCCGCGCGTTACCTGCAAGGAGCCTGAGCCCCGGCCGCATCGCCCTCCCGGGTGCGGAAACTCCGGCGGCTCCAGGCGCCCGCCCGGACCTGACAGGGGGAGGGGCCGCCCGCGCACCGCCCCCCTCGACCCCCCCTCCGCGCCCCTGCCCCCCCGCCCCGCGCCTCCCGCAGCTCTCCACGCGCGCGGGCTCCCCACCAACACTCATCTCGGCCCGCCCCCTCCGCCCGACCATTGGCTGCTGCTCCCGTCACTTTCAGGTCGCAGCCGAGTCCCTCCTCAGCTCATTGGCGGACGCGCCGGTGACGTCAGGCCAGGGGGCGCTAGTCGGCGGCGAAGGAGGCGCAGGGACAGACCGACCAGGCGGGAGAGGAGGAAGCCGGGTTGTGGGCGCGGAGCTGAGGCGGGGCCGGGGCGGGAAGAGGCGGCACCAGCCTGGTCGGGGGAGGCTAGCTGCGGGAGCGCGGGTGAGCCCTCTTTCTTCCTCCGCGGTCCACGTGCGGGACCCTATTTCTGGCCTGTGTCGCGCTTCGCCCGCGCGGTGGTCTCCGCGCTGGGGCTGCGGCGTCCTCGCAGAACAGCCAGAACTCCACTTCTTCCTGTCCGGGAGTTTTTTAAAATGTGCGTGTCTCCACCTTCTGCTTCTCAGAACAGAACTGACTGAAGCCGTGTTCTTCCCGCTGAGACCGTGCTGCCCCATCGACCCTGCTGCGGCTAGAGCCACCCAGGGCGGGCCCATTCACCGCAGGCTCGGGCCACTTGGTCCCAAACCTCCACTCCCATCCGGGTGGCCGGCACATCCCCCACACTCCCACTCTCAGAGGTCTTTGCCTCCTGCTTCAGGAAAAAAGAGAAACTTCTTCCACTTTCCACTGGCAAAACTGCACTACCTGCTCCCTCCATCACCGAGCCCCCCCACCGTCCGTTTTTCCAGTATCGAAGAATCCGATCCATTGCTCCCTCTGGGCTGGAATCCGTATCTTCGGCATTTCATCATTCCCAAGACTCTACTCCACTTCCCCTTGCACCGCTGAAGTTGGTGAAAGAGGCGCCTCCCCCCCAGTTTTGTCGTCTCTCAACTCCATTCACGTGTTCGTTTTCACACACGGTGAAATTGCCTTTTTAGTGGTCGCAAGTAACATCCACATCACTAAAGTCAAAGGACACTGTCCTTTCTTGTGTTACCTGATCTGAGCAAAAATTCCTTCTTCCTCCTTAAAACACGTCTTCCTGTGGCGGGAGGGGGCTCCACTTTCCTGTCTGTCCCCAGTCTTGGCGTGCTTGTCTGCTCTGGGTGACCACCAAGTAACAAGAGTTTTAAAGGTCTCAGACCTTTCCTCTCACTCCACAATTTTTCCCTGAATGATTTAACCTGCTGTCAACATTTAAATCAATATATCCCAAATTTACAACTCTAATCTTTGCTCCTCTGAACTCCAATCCGTTTATCTAGCTTCCTATTCAGCTATTCCTCGTAACAAGCACCTCAAATGGAACCCATCCAAAGCTGAATGTGTCCTTTCCCTGCTTGCTTTCAACTTCCTGTCTCCCTGTGATAGTGAAGACACCACCATCCAGTGTTTCCCAAACTCTGCCTTCACCCCGGCATCTAACAAATTGCCAAGATTCTACTTCCTAAATATCTCTGCAGTCTGTCCACTTCCTTCCATTTCCAGTATTAGGTATCATAATGTGCTTACTGCGCATGCGTCTTCCCGGCCCACACTCAGTGATGTCTCTGGTAGACTGTAACGGGCCATGGTCGAAGTATTTACACCATGGAAATTAGCCAACATTATGAATCAGGGATCGATTTGTTTTGCTGATTGTCTCTAGACTTAAGAAAGTGATGGGGAAAATGTTAATAATGTAGATTAAACTTTAAAATGTGTTGTGCTTGGTGCTGAAACAAAAAGATTGCAGTTTAATGAGTTTATACGAGGGTTAGAAGTAGTCTAACAGATCACATATCAGATTTAAGGACAATAAATTTGTTAGCAAAAATCGGTGTGTAATTTCACTAGTCACATCATGGTTGAGTTACAAGCATTGGATTGATTCAGATACAAGCCTTTGGCAAAAAGGAACCAAAACTTTGTGAGAATCAGTCAAGTAGACAGAACTGACAATAAAGAGTGTCTGCCTGTTTTTTACTTGTGTGTTGTTTATTACACATCCTTTATATCAGAAACATTTGTAACACACATTTGGTTGTATATGTAGGCACACATTTCTATTTTCCCCAGAGAGTCAGTTGTTGAACATTTACCAGCACACTGCTGACTGACATAGAATCACCAGTGCCTGGTGGAAATAAAAAGCAGATGAAATTTTAGTCAGGTGGTTTTTTTTTTTTTTTAATGTATATATACTTTAAGTTCTAGGGTACATGTGCAGAATGTACAGGTTTGTTACATAGGTATACATGTGCCATGTTGGTTGGCTGCACCCATCAACTCGTAATTTACATTAGGTATTTCTCCTAATTCTTTCCCTCCCCCCAGCACCCCACCCATTGACAGGCCCTGCTGTGTGAGGTTCCCCACCCTGTGTCCATGTGTTCTCGTTGTTCAACTCCCACCTATGAGTGAGAGCATGTGGTGTTTGGTTTTCTGTCCTTGTGATACTTTGCTGAGAAGGATGGTTTCCAGCTGCATCCATGTCCCTGCAAAGGACATGAACTCATCCTTTTTTATGGCTGCATAGTATTCCATGGTGTATATGTGCCACAGTTTCTTAATCCAGTCTACCATTGGTGGACATTTGAGTTGGTTCCGAGTCTTTGCTCTTGTGAATAGTGCTGCAATAAACATACATGTGCATGTGTCTTTATAGTAGCATGAGTTATAATCCTTTAGGTATATACCCAGTAATGGGATCACTGGGTCAAATGGTATTTCTAGTTCTAGATCCTTGAGGAATTGCCACACCGTCTTCCACAATGGTTGAACTAATTTACACTCCCACCAACAGTATAAAAGTGTTCCTGTTTCTCCACATCCTCTCCAGCATCTGTTTTTTCCTGACTTTTTAATGATCACCATTGTAACCGGCATGAGGTGGTATCTCATTGTGGTTTTGATTTGCATTTCTCTGATGACCAGTGATGATGAGCATTTTTTCATATGTCTGTTGGCTGCATAAATGTCTTCTTTTGAGAAGTGTCTGTTCATATCCTTTGCCCACTTTTTGATTTTTTTTTTTCCTTGTAAATTTAAGTTCTTTGAAGATTCTGGATATTAGCCCTTTGTCAGATGGGTAGATTGCAAATATTTTCTCCCATTCTGTAGGTTGCCTGTTCACTCTGATGATAGGTTCTTTTGCTGTGCAGAAGCTCTTTAGTTTAATTAGATCCCGTTTGTCAGTTTTGGCTTTTGTTGCCGTTGCTTTTAGTATTTTAGTCATGAAGTCTTTGCCCATGCCTATGTCCTGAATGGTATTGCCTAGGTTTTCTTCTAGAGTTTTTATGGTTTTAGGTCTAACGTTTAAGTCTTTAATCCATCTTAATTTTTATATAAGGTGTAAGCAAGGGATCCAGTTTTAGCTTTCTGCATATGGCTGGCCAGTTTTCCCAGCACCTTTGTCAGAGAGGGAATCCTTTCCCCATTGCTTGTTTTTGTCAGGTTTGTCAAAGAGGCAGAGTCTCACTCTGTTGCCCAGGCTGGAGTGCAATGGTGCAATGTCAGCTCACTGCAACCTCTGCCTTCTGGGTTCAAGTGATTCTCCTGCTTCAGCCTCCTGAGTAGCTGGGATTACAGGTACTCACCACAATGCCCAGCTAATTTTTGTATTTTTAGTAGAGACAGGGTTTCACCAGGTTGGCCAGGCTGGTCTCGAAGTCCTGACCTCAGGGGATCCATCTGCCTTGACCTCCCAAAATGCTGGGATTACAGGTGCGAGCCACCACGCCTGGCCTAGTCAGTTTTATTATTTTCAACTCTCTATAGACAATGCACCCCTTATTTCTTGCCTTCAGGATGGCTTTTCCCCACATGGCCCCTCTTGGTGGGCACCTGCTTCCCAGTACTCTTGGATTGAAGGCCTCAATCTTTCATGATCTGCGGTGCCACAGCATGATCAGGCCCCTTGCCTGCTGCTCCTGAGTCATCTCATGCCTCTCTCTCCTGCATTCCCTAGGCCCCAGCTATGTCGGCCTTCTTGTATCCTCCAGTGTGCTCTGAGCTCCTTTCCATCCTGGGCTGTGCACCTGCACATGCAGTGCTCCCTCCTGCCCTCCTCCATCACACCTGGCTACTTCCAGTTTAGAGGTCTCCAGCTCCCCAGGGCCATAGATGGGTATCTGTCTATGGCTTATTAGGAACCCGGGCGGCACAGCAGGAAGTGAGCCTCCCAAGGGAGCAGTACCATCTGAGCTCCACCTCTTGTCAGATCAGCAACAGCATTAGATTTTCATAGGAGTGGGAACCCTACTGTGAACTGTGCCTGCAAGGGATCTAGGTTGCAAGCTCCTTATGAGAATCTGACTAATGCCTGATGATCTGAGGTGGAACAGTTTAATCCTGAAACTATTGCCCCAACTCCATCCATGGAAAAATTGTCTTCTATTAAACTGGTCCCTGGTGCCAAAAAGGTTGGGGAGCAACCTTTCGCTGACCTAATTCATTCTTCAGGTCACTACTCAAGTGTCACCTCCTCTGAAAACCCTTCCCTGAATTATCTCCCCAAACACATATAGGTCCATCTGTATATACTCTCATAGCTTTTATTAAAACTATAATTACCTGACAGTGTGGCCATTTGTATAAAGTCTGTCTCTAACTATCTCATTAGACTGTAAGTTCCATGAAGGCAAGAACCATGTCTGTGTAGTTAACTCCTGCACCCCTGCAGCTACTGTGCCTACCACACAGCAGGCATTTAACAAGGTATCTCCTAGAGACACACAACTCTTAAGGTCGCATTACATGTTATTGGCAATACTGGAGTTAGAATCAGAGTCTCCTGACTTTATCCAATGTTCTTT